AGTAGGATTGCCCAACCTTTCCTTCCGAGGAGTGGCTGGTGGGTTTGAACCACCAACCTTCTGGTTAGCAGTCAAGTGCTTTAGCCACTATGCTACCAGAGCTCCTTAAATAACATTAGCATTCTTTAATTTTCTGGTTAGGCCTCTGTGTCATTTTAAATATACCTTAACATCGAGGTGCATCACTTGGCACTTTCTGTTCGCTGTATATCAAAAAGTGGTTGAAATAGAAACTTCCCCTAAATAGTGTGGCATCTGTTTGTGATTTTCAAAACCACCTTGGGCACAATATTGAATCTTGTCACCTCGAGGGAGGAAAAGCATTGGAAGGTAGAACTGGTACCTTTTCTTGCTCTTAATGACAGTCTGCATCTGTAACAGAAAGAGAAATTCAGAGGTTGGTTTTGGAATAAATAAACTCCTGTTTAGTTTGCTATTTAAATTCAGTACACAATACCCCATGGTGCTGGTACGGTATGATAATGAATGATTTTTACACTCGAGAATCTGAATCACAAAGCTGCCTTGGAATTACACGTAAAGGTTGTAGACACATCTGTATAAGAAAATACCAAAGGACAGGATTGGTGTCATAAAAACTGTTTGCCAATAAATCTGCTTCTGATGGATTACTGAAAATAGACACATCAGGAATAGAGGTGTGTGTGTCTATTACATAGGTTAGCTTGGTGAAGGATGACAAGCTTCCACTGGTACAATGAGATAAGAAATAGCTGTCTTTGGTGTCGGCACTACTGCAAGAAATGAATTGATAATTTGGGGCCATCCTTATGAGAGGTACCATATATTTGATCGTTTGTGAGTATCTGCAAGACCAGAGTCATCTGACAGCCCCAAACAGAATTGCCAACCGCTCTTTAACAATCTCTTGAGAAGTAGCACTGAATCCAATCAGACAGAGCCATCACCCAAAGCTGTGTTGTTTCTAAAACATGTAGTTCCGGTGCATGTGTATGTGGTGATGATGAGAGAGGAGAGGAATGTGGGGGCTGTTGTTATTTTCCCTTTTTACTGCATCAAGGACATTTTAGTGTGTGAAATTTCAGGGTTTCAAGTGATGACTGTAAAGCAGTTGCTTAGGTGAATTTATAAACTACTAGTCAAAGGCAGAGAAAAAAATAATCTTTCAGGGGAAAAAAAGGACACTGAATCCCACATTCTGACCTATTTGCTAACTACACATTAATAGGCATTGTTTTGGATTTTAGGAAAGCCCACAATTAATAATTAAGAATTCCAGTTGTAATTAAGGTTAAATTTTCACATTGATCTAGACTTTAAAATTTTTTGAAATAAGTAATGATCTATTCACCAGTTTAGCTCAAGCATATTCTGATTACTCCTCTGGCACTTAATTGGGTTTTTCCCCCTCTTTTAATTTTTAATGTGACAAAGTCAACTGTAGATACTCAATGTGAGGCTTCCATTAACTCTGGCCCTCAGCACCGGTGTCCGTCTGTCTCTTCCCCAGATTATCTGCCTGAAGCTTGTGGCTTTCAGGCTGAGAGCCCCTGAGATGATAGGCCAGTCAGCCCACAGACTTCTCCAGCACACTTCCTTTTTAGAGAAACTTGGGCATAATATAGGGAATCCAAATCGACTGTTCCACCAGAGAACATGCCCAGCATCCTCTGAATCAGAAAGAATTTCTGGACCGTTACAATTAAAAAAAAAAAAAAAAAAACTGGGAAGGAATAATGAGAGAAATTGTGGTGCCTCGATCCATTGAGACCTTTAAGAAAAAAATAGCCATTCTTGTCTTGGTTTAGGCATTCACTGCCTTGGTATTCATAGCTAGTGAGGGTTGGACCACACACTCTCTGGAGTTCTCGTCTTCCTTTGATGATGCTGGGATTTTAAGAGGAGGGTGCACTGAACAGCCAGGAGCTATGATTTCTGGCTCTCCACCTAGTGTTTTCTAGGGAGGGCTTGGGGGTTTGGGTATCCATAACATCAGAGTCGGCCAGGCAGGTCAGAGAGTCCAAGCCAAGTTCTTAAATCAGGTCTTATTTACTGTATAATAATCTGGGTACGAGAGCTTTATCCTAGAGGAGAAAAATGGAAAAGAAGAGAGTCAGGCAGGGAATGAGAAAGGGAGAGAGGGAAGGGAAAGAATAGAGGGCAGGAGAAGGAAAAAAGAAGAAATCGAGGAAAAGGGCCAAAAAGACACTGGAAGGGGCGGGCTACTCCTTCAAAATGGCAGATAAGTATCTTTTTCCTCATAGTAAAAAATTCTGTCTGCCAAAATGAAAAAGCATTATTACTGGCTAAATACCAATCCATTTTCTATATCTTTTAAATGACATATTGCCCAAGTACAAAGCAGCATGTCTTGTTAAAGGCTGGGTGTTTCGATCCCTCTATTACTCTATATAAAACAAAGAATCTGTCGTTTCATTACCCTTAAATTGTCTGGCAGTGGGTGAAGTTAACTTTTATTAGAAGCTGTTCTTTCATATTATACAATGTAGTCGAGGATATATTAGCTTTGACATTTTCTTACATCTCAATATACTGTGGAGTGAATTGACTGTGAGACTAATTTCGAAGGGAGCTTTTTATAGGAGGAAATAATGGTCAGCATCAGCTATACCTCATATTATTAGCAGGATGAGAATTCAGGAAAAATGTGCATACAAGTAAAATTGCTAGATGTTAATAAGAATGCTTCTTGTGTTTCAGTTCATGATGACATTCTGTGTTTTTTAAAACTCCAGTGTCCTAAAAGTATATTCAGGAGCAAGATTTTATTGTTGGAGAAATGCTATAGTGCCTACTAAACATGATTATTTTGTCGTGAAGAGAGGAAAAAGAACATCAGATGAAATAGTACCTAAAAGGCATTTTTAGAGGTTCAGCTTTAGGAAAGAAAGGACTACAACTTATGTATTAAAAAGCAGTTTAAAGATGATTGATTTGACTAATACGCAATAAAGTCATTATAAAACAAATTCCCAGGATGTGAAATTTAATTTCACCTGTAGGATTCATCACTCATCACCAAAGTTTTATTACATTCTGGTACTAGGGGCCTTTCTCTCACTGTTTGGTTATCTTTTCTAATAAGATCATGCTGGTCAGCTGACATTTTGAGGCACCAATTAAACATATAATCGGTAAATGAAATTGGATTCTATTTAAACCAAATAAAGAGAAAAACAAGCATACCAGAGTGATAAGTGTAGTACTTTAGCTTCAATAACTTGGAATGTAAATACATCACAGAGGGATATTTCAGCTGCTAAACTAATAAAACCTAGTCATTCAAATAGTAAAAGATATTGAGAAACAGCAACAGGAAGAGTGCTAAGAAAAGGGCCCAATGGAGACACCTAAAAGAAAACCAGTCAGTCTGCTCTTTCAGTTTCTTATCTGTTCTATAGTTTTAGCAGTAGAAAGGGTTTTTTCTTTGCTTTTATCTTTCTGCCTGAATGAGTTCAATTTCACTTAGATTAGGACTTAGAAATTTCAGAACAGCAGGTTAATCTGTCCTGTCTTCATGGGCAACTGAGCAAACAGACCAATATCAGTGTAAAATTGTAATTCTGGAGATTAATGTTGTCTTTCCTGTTTGCGGTGAACTTGACCTCCTTGCCTTTTTTTTTTTTTTCCCCTCCAGCTTCTGTCCAGGGTCCCTGGGAGAGAGCCATCTCACCAAACAAAGTGCCCTACTATATCAAGTAAGTTGGAAGAATCACACTTTTAAAGAAGCATGTATTGTGTTGAATCTGTATATGCACAAATGAATTTATTTTTAAAACCCGATGCTAGCCTGGCCTACAATACCTATTTCTTTCTTCCCTGCGGAAGCTTGGATCATAAACTCATGCTAAAATTACCACTGTAAATTTGCTGATGCAATAGAGAACAGCCATTAAGAAAAAATCCATTTAAAGCAGCATTTGTGGTGTGTTTTGTGATGAGGGAGGAGGGTCAGATTTTTCACAATAGAACAGAAAGCTCCAGATAATATTGTTAATAGTGGGAGTAAATATTTGCAAGAACAATTTCATTTATTTAGAGGTTTCCCCACCACATTTCTTCTTCAGACAGAGATGGAAGATCTGTAGAGCTATGCGCGCACAAACGGTTTGAGGTGACGGATGGCTTCACGTACCCAAAAGGCAATCAGCAGCAGTCTCAGATTTGTGGAGCTCATTCTAGATGCATAGCACTCAGCATTTGTCACCTAACAACAATAACAGAATGCTACTGTTTTCTGGGGCCATTTGTGCCAGTCAGAGGAATACTTGTTGCTGTTGTTGTTGTTATGTGCCATCGACTCAGATCTGACTCATAGCAACCCCTCCTTGGGTTTCCAAGGTGGTATCACCACAGAAGTAGATTTGCCCAACCTTCCTTCTGAAGAGTGGCTGGTGGGTTTGAACCACCAGCCTTCTGGTTAGCAGTCAAATGCCTTAGGCACTATGCTACCAGAGCTCCCGGTGGAATACTAATCATCCCTATAACTAACTGGGAGCTCTGGTAGCATAGTGCCTAAGGCACTTGACTGCTAACCAGAAGGCTGGTGGTTCAAACCCACCAGCCACTCCTCGGAAGGAAGATGGGGCAATCTACTTCCGTAGTGATACTGCCTCGGAAACCCAAGGAGGGGTCACTATGAGTCAGATCCTACTCGACGGTACATAACAACATAACTAGGAATTTTGGTTATTAGCTTGAAAGCACCTTCTGAAGGATGATGCATGAAATATCATTTACCAGACATTGGGTCAATGTAGAAGAGAGAGGAGAGAGAATATTGAGTTATTTTGATACCTTAAAAATCTCGTCAGTTGTGCAATAAAGTCTAACTTAAATTTAACTTTGAATTGGCTCCTCTCCCCAAGAACAATTACAATTAATCAAATTCCTGGAATAGTCTTCATTACCAACTGAAATCTTTGAACTTGCTTCTGCCCTGAGTCTAAGTACCAATATTAAATGTTTTCCTAGTTTTTTTTTCAGCCTGCCATCTTTTATCTAGTCTGTTTTTTATTCTTCCACTGCCCATCAATTCTTCATAATTCCATTCAACAGCAATAACAGTGGCCCTTGATCTTCATTACTATAGTTCTCAAGAAATTTGATTTCATGCCTCTATTTTGTTAACTCAGAAGAATGGGGGTGAGAAGACTCTTTTGCTCTATAAGGAAAGCCATATCCTTTAGGACGTGGTTTACCCTTTATCTTATGAAATTTTCCCAGATGAGGTATCTGTTAACTTTATAAAATTTTTCTTAGCATACTTTCATCTTAATTTTCCATGTTCTTATTTTTTTATTTTACTGTTTTTGTCATATTAAATTCATTAACTAAGTCATACTAAATGACATATTTTAAATGTCTATTAAAGTCATGCTTTATTAAATAATATATTGATTTAGACATGTGCTGTATTGCTTGCCCTCCACTGTATGTCTTATGGAACAATTTATTCAGTCTTCACATTCATCTTCTATCTACATCTGTGTCTTTGTCATTGTTAGAGCCCATCATTTTCCATTCTGATTATGATGTTTGAGACCTGCTACTTTTTCTGACCCATTTATAAAGCTCTCACTGTATCTAGCCCCTTTATGAACTGAAATAAAAGTTATTTTTCTCCATTTGTATGTACTAGAATCACCAGAAAATGATAATAATGTACCCAATAGATCCAAGACATCTTTAAGCCATTATTTTCCAAATTATTAACTGTTTGGAGTTTATGAAGTGATTCCTAGAAACCCTGAGCTCCGATGCCCTATCCTTAAATCTTTGTCTTCTCCTCCCTGATGTTACATCTGCTAAAAGAGATCACAGTCCATTGTTATGGGAAAGTGAAAATTAATCCAGTCCAAAAAATGAAAAGAAGTTCCAGAAAAGCAGTAATTCCCACTCCCGCCATAAATTAGTCTCTTCCTGCTCCTCATTGGAATTAGAGAGGAGCTAAACCAAAAAATCAAACTCACTGCCGTTGAGTCGGACCCAACTCATAGTGACCCCTCCTTGGGTTTCCAAGGCAGTATCACTACAGATGTAGATTGCCCCATCTTCCTTTCAAGGAGTGGCTGGTGGGTTTGAACCGCCAGCCTTCTGGTTAGCAGTCAAATGCCTTAGATATTCCACCACCAGAGCTCCTAGACAGGAGCTAAGCATCCTATTTGTCCAATGCTCCTTCATGAACTTGAGGATCATGGTGGTGGTAATAGTAAGGGCACAGATCTGAGAATAAAAAAACTTGAGTTCTAGTCCTGGCTGTCATTACTTGACTGTGTGACCTTGGGCAAGTCACTTAACCTATACCATCCTTGATTTTTCATTTATAAGTTGAGTTGAACTAAATGATACCCAAAGTCCTTTCTAGCTCCAAGAATCAATGAGTATGACTCATTCTGTGGTCTTCTCCAAATTAAAAAATGTAGGACCGCAGCTTTTCTCAAGAATCTTATCTTTATTTTTAAATTAGATATTTTAATCATTAATGTAATATAAATTATTAGTTACAAAACTATAAGTATTTTCTTTTTCCTTAATTAGCTTTGGATATGCCCTCTCTACACACTCCAATTTATCCAGGCACGTCTTTAAAGGACTTAAATCTTGGTGTATACTTTAGGATTAATATTCTTCCTGGTCCAATGGTGAAAGACCTAGAACAAGAAGTGGGAAAAATTAATGGACGGATGAGTATGGAGACTTTAAAAACCTCTGAAATTATCAGTTCCTTGGAATGAAGAATTACATAACTTTTCAAAGATCTCTCTGAAATTTTTTGAGGAAGAATAATTCTCTCTACAATTATAATCTACTTGAAATTAGGGATTATGTAATTTCTTAAATATACCTCAAAAATGGTAAACTGCAATATAAGGAGAACAGAAGTATGTATAGTGTACATTGTCAACAAATGTAATGTATTTTTAATGCCATTTTCAATTTATTACCCATTACCATTGTCCAAGACATTTTATTTAAAGCAAGTTATTCACTGTTCAAAGTTTGGTGGATTTCGTGCACCAGCAAATGCCATTCATAACCTGAAATGCTTTATTGGTTGAAAACTACATTAATAATAAGTTTACAATGGTATTACTTCAACCTGCCTTCATTTTTCCTCTTATTTGTCTAGATTTCCATGCAAGAATTTTTCACCACACATGCCCAGCTGCAAAACCAGGAGTCTTCTTTTTTTTTTTTAAATGCTTTATAATGTTTCCTTTTCGATGGGGGTGGGTGGGAAATAAACTGATTATCTGAATAACAAGAAGCTTCTCCACCAACAGCACAGTTCTGGTTGGTTGTGGAGTTGTGCACTCATCTTTGAGTTTTAAATCATTAGCAACATCTTTTGCTCTGGATTGCAAATCAGGCAATGTTTATGCCTGCATCCCTATACCAGCTTTTCATATGATGCTAAGAACCTTGATTTTGATACTTCAAACTTCATGTTTGTCTGGTTTATTAGTCCATAGCATATATCGTTGTTACAGTTTTTATATTCCCTCTCCCTTGGGGCTCTCTTATTCCTGCCAGCATCTCTTTCAGGTTATTTGATTACAGCTTTCATTGCCACTGAAAAAATAATCAACAATGTTCAACCTGTTACAACTGCCTTTCCCACTCTCTGCCATTTTGTAGTTTTTTGGCCTACTGTCAAACACATGAAAATTTCAATATAATAGCCTTTAACCAGCTGCTGCATTCTGTTAGGATTTCTTTCACCTTTTTATGTTGCATACTCCCATATGGGTAAACCAAACGGAGCCAAGAGCTGGGAGTCTCTTGCTTTCTTAATAAGTTAGAAAATTATTCTTCTGTGTTCTGGAACAAAAGAATTTAGGAATCCCAAACTTGTATCCAGGAAATTTCTGCATAGATGTCATAGTAAGAGTACAAAAAATATCAGACCAACTGTATTTTATGGGTCAGAGCAACAGGGCAACTAGGCCAGAAATCTGTCCCATATGCAGGAACCAATGATGTTTTGTCAATTATCCTAGTAATTTTCATTTACAAAAATTAGGATGCATCATGACCATCTTCTTAATGCATTGTAGACCAGTTGGCCTTGAGTTCACCCAACGGTTTCCCAAACTTTTTTTTTAATTCCACATCTTGGCTTTGTCTTAGGATAAGTTCCATAAAATCACTGAGCCTTCTACATAAATAAAATAAGGAGCTCTGGTGGTATAGTGGTTAAGGCATTTGATTGCTAAATAAAAAGGCCAGTGTTTAGAACCCACCAGCCATTCCATGAAAGAAGGATAAGGCAATATGCTTGGGTAAGTTTTTACAGCCTTGGAAACCCAATGGGGGTGCTATGAGTTGGAATCAACTCAGTGGCAGTGAGTTTGGTTTATAAAGGCATGTTTCAGTTTGTCTTGAATCTATATCCTTTTAGAGCAAGGAATGACCCTATTTAAATTCATTGGAATTCAGTGAATGCATTTATATTGACTGCTAACCAGAAGGCTGGCAGTTCAAACCCACCAGCCACTCCTCGGAAGGAAGGTTGGGCAATCTACTTCCGTAGTGATACTGCCTTGAAAACCCAAGGAGGGGTCGCTATGAGTTGGGTCCGACTCAATGGCAAATAACAACAACCAGTCGAATTTAATCTTACATCCCAAACCATCACCCATCAAAACTCTTTTCATCGTCCCAGTCTGAGAAAGTTTCATCCTTTTTTACCTTT